GAAAGCAAAACCCAATTCCAAAAGTAATAAAAGCAAAGAGGGATGGGGTAGCTCAGTGGAATCAGTGGCAAGATTGTGTGTTTACCATGCTTAAGATCTGGATTCGATTCCCCTCTCCCCTAAAAAATAAACAGACCACAAAAAAAAAAACCTTCAAAGTATATAAATAGTAAAACTGCTTGAAAAGTGAGGCATACCAAATGTGGACAAGCACAATTTGAACTGAAAATCACAATGCAAGGTCTTGATAACCAACTTATAGTTTGACTCACACAGGCATTAATTATTCTTATAGTGATAAATATTATCCATCTACATACATAAAGTATAAATGTCTCTCACACACACATATATACACACACACACATACACATACATTCATACACACATACACACAAGCATATACGCATGCATGCACACATACATACACACTCATACACAATTTAAACCACTACATATCTTGGTTCTTTGTTGTTAAGTACATATTTTAAGATCACAAAAAAGCATTGCAGCTGGGTGCCAGTGGCTCATGCCTGTAATCCTAGCTACTCAGGAGGATGAGATCTGAGGATTGTACTTCAAAGCCAGTCCAGGCAGGAAAGCCTGTGAAACTCTTATCTCCATTTAACCACCAGAAAACTGGAAGTGGTGCTGTGGTTCAAGAGGTAGAGTGCTAGCCTTGAGCAAAAGAGCTCAGGGACAGTGCCCACGCCCTGAGTTCAAGCCTCACAACCGACAACAAGGACAAAAAAAGAAGCCTTGCAGGAATGCAAAGCACGGTGACCATTCTCATGATTAGTGGCACAAATACACAGCACCTCATGATTTTAACATCAGTTTTAGGAGTAGACACAAGCAGTCAATGTGCAGGATGAAAATCAGTGGGAATATTATCTTCATTTGTAATGAATTGTACCGACAATAATTATTTATTGGCCCTTTTTTTTTCTTTTGTTCCTTATTCTGTCCACAGAACAATGTTTGCGAGGGGGGACCAAGATGGCGACGGGGCAGTAGGGAAACCCCATAGCTCTCTCCAAACAAAAAGAGAGTTCGAGTTCCAACGCTTAATCTCCCCAAGAGACCGACAACAACAAAAAGACGAACACTCAGAGAAAAACCAGAGGTGGAAAATAACAAAAAAAGAAAGAGA